CGGGGGGCCCGGGGGGGAACGCCCCCGGGCGGGCCGGGCTGTTTTGTTCCCCTGCCGTGTCCACAGGTTCGGCCGATTGCAGCTCCCACTGGCCGCGGTTTACCGCTCCAGGCCAATGGGGGGGGGGCCGTCAGGAAGCGGCATGGGCTGAGGGGTGTGCTGGCCACCGCTTCCCGCCACCCCCATTGGCCTGGAGCGGTAAACCGCGGCCAGTGGGAGCTGCAATCGGCCGAACCTGTGGACACGGCAGGTAAACAAACCAGCCCGGCCTGCCAGGGTGCTTACTCCAGCGGGCCGCCGGCCAAAGGTTGCCGATCCCTGTATTAGATATTCAATTTGATGATTCCATAGAGTTTAAAGTCATCTAATTTTGGTGTAGACCTGTTTATAAGTCGACCCCCGCTCTTTGATGCATCACTATTTTACCAAAAATATTCGGCTTATGAACAAGTATATACGGTAACTTGTTGCAGTAAAAAACTATATTTGTTGCACCGAATGAGAAAAATTAAAAAGGCCCTTTTACATCTATATAGAAGATGCGGATGCAGATTTTATACAATATGCTTACGACAGGCAGGGACAGAGGTATGGTATCTGAATTTCCATCTGATAACTTGGAATTCTTCTTGTGATAGTGACCTTGTGCGGCCTATCCTTAGGCTTGGAAGGAGTAGGTTTCTAAGTACGTTTCTAGTAAGCATCAGTTTCACTTGTACACACAAACTGACAATATTTTCATCACCGGTAATCAAAATTTAAAGATAGGCAAAATAAGAAATCATGCTTGAGAGTTTATTAGACTTTGATTTAAGGATATTAACTTTGTATATTTTGACATGCGATGTTGACAATTTGTTTTAATGGTTATAAAGCTTTAACTTTTTGACTCTCAATAGCTACTGTCATTAAGTAATTATTATTTGACCTCCCCCATAATTTCACACAACTCTGAAAATTTAAGATAATAAAAAAACCCTTACAAATAAACATCAATATTATTGATCAAAATTACTTAAAAAATAAAATTCTGCCATGCTTATCTATTCATAAGTAACCCTGCTTCTTCATCTTGTCAAAGGTATTATGCTGAGAAAGTCAATTATTACTTGGCCATGTTGTGACTTCATTCAAAAGCTATAGAGTGAGGACACTAATGGGGCATGAGACCTACACATTTCCATCTTCAGTAATTTCCATAGGAAATAGAATAAAAAAAGGATTAGACATTGATGTGAATAAAAACAGCTGTAGTTGCATTAGGTGTGAAAAAATGTATAAGCAATATAAACCAATTAGAACAGGGGCGGGCAAACTTTTTGGCCTGAGGGCCGCATTGGTTATTGTAAATTGTATGGAGGGCCGGTTAGGGGAGCGGGTCGTGGCCCGGTCCCCATCTCCTATCTGTCCCCCCACCCCACCCCCCGGGACTCCTGTACCAGCCAACCCCCCTTGTTCCCTGATGGCCCCTCTGGGACCCCTTCCCCATGCACACACCCCACTCCCTGTCCCCTGATTGCCCCCGGACCCGTGCCAACCAACTCCTCTCTCCATCCAACCCCTCCTCTCATTCCTGACGGCCTTCCCAGGACCTCCGCCTATCCAACAACTCCGTCTCCCTGTCCCCTGACTGCCCCTGACTGCCCCCTGCCCCTCCATTCAACCTCCCTCCCTTCCTGACTGCCCCCCAGGGACCCCTGCCCCCCATTCAACCCCCTGATCCCACCCCAACCGCCTCACCCCCTATCCACCTCCCCACCCCCTGACCACCACCCCGAACTCCCCTGCCCTCTACCCAACCCCCCCTGCTCCCTGCCCCTTTACCGCGCTGCCTGGAGCACTGGTGGCTGGCCATGCGGCCGGCTGGAGCCGGGCCACACTGCCACTGCCACCGCCACCACCATGCAGCACAGAGCACCGGGTCAGGCCAGGCTCTGCAGCTGCGCTGCCCCAGGAGCTCACAGCCCCGCCGCCCAGAGCATTGTGCCGGCGGCGGAGCAAGCGAGCAAGCTGAGGCTGCGGGGGAGGGGGAACAGCAGGGGAGGACCCGGGGGCTAGCCTCCTGGGGCCAGGAGCTCTGGGGCCAGGCAGGATCGTCCTGTGGGCCACAGTTTGCCCACCCCTGAACTGGAGCATAAGGCAATCACTGACTGCCAGGGATTAGGAAGAAACATGAGTGACACATTTTTTCAATACCTTTTGTGGTGGCCTCTTTGTATTTTTACCTGGAGGTATGTTCCCCTCTTCCTCCTGCTAGTGTGGCTTGAACTTCAGGAAGGTTTTGGAAAGGTGTGTCCAACCAGGCCAAACGGGCATCCTCATGTGGTCTCCATGCATCTGAAGAAGTGGGTTTTTTAGTGACGAAAGTTTATGCCCAAATAAATCTGTTAGTCTTTAAGGTGCCACCGGACTCCTAGTTGTTTTTGTTCTCATATGGCAGTGAGTATTCAGAGACAACGTTATAAAACGTCACTTCAGGGCTTTACTTTGGCTAGCTTTGTGTGTAGGCACATTCACTCTGTGCCTAGACAATTTTGGGCATTTTAATCCCAAACTTCCTCAATCACTGCTATTGAAGTACACCGCTACCTCAATATAACGCTGTCCTCGGGAGCTAAAAAATCTTACCGCGTTATAGGTGAAACCGCATTATATCGAACTTGCTTTGATCCACCAGAGTGCACAGCCTGCCCCCGGAGCACTGCTTTACCGCGTTATATCCAAATTTGTGTTATATCGGGTCGCGTTATATCGAGGTAGAGGTGTATATTGCACTTAGTTGGTGCTAGGTAGTGCTGATGTGAATTTACTCTTTATTCTGGACTCGAGCTCCCCAGACCTTTTGGTCTCATATTAGAGGACTCATCTAATAAAGGCTGATTTAAGTGGTGTGTGAGGTTTTACTCACCACTTAAGTCAGCTTTACAAGAACTGTACACTAAAGGTTTACTTTATAAAAATGTGGAAGCTAATTTCTAGGGGAGTGACACAGGAAAAACTAAGGTAGCAGGAGCACTTCTTCTAGAGCCCCGCAGACTTTTACAGCAACTGCACCATTTATATGATATACCTGGGACTATACACTTCATGTCCCTTCGTACTATGGCTCAGCCTCCAAAATCATGGCTTCTCTCTTGCATCTTATCCCTAGCTTTATAGAACAAAAAAAGTAGAAAGAGACTTCACTTCTAACCATTGCTTTCTCACTTCTCTCAGTCAAAAAAAAAGGGGGGGGTGAGGGGGCAGAATAACTTTTATTACTGTTTTACAATAATATTGCTGATAAAACTTCAGCAAAAACACTGCTAGATTTGTTGAAGTTAGGCAAAATACTAGACTACTAATAGGTGCATAGTAAATGTGCACCTAATTCAAGAAGTTATGAAATTCTGTATTTCTCTCATCTGTTGGTCCTCTGCTTGCATGGAATTTCATGATTAATCACTCCCGTGATATTGTAATTTTGTATTGGATATAGCTCCTAGAATGCTATACAAATGCCACAACTGTACATAGTTTGAATTAGCTCCAATTGCAATGTTGTGAATGATATGGAGGCAAACTGGATTATAAGAATTCAAGGCTGCTTTTAAGATAAATTTTAAATAATCTTTGTGTTTTAAAGAATAGTAAATGAAGGACTTTCACATTATCTAACAGAAGCAAATTAGCTCTGCTGAACACAAAATACTTTTTTTCTGAAATTAGGGTGGTTACCATTGTATATATTTGATTCCTGACACACATGCGGCTTGTAATATCAAAACATTTTTCTTTATTTTTTTTAATCGTAGGAGCTATGCCTGTGCCAGACCAGCCGTCATCTTCTGACAAGACAAGTTCCCTTAGCCCTGTGCTGAATACATCCAATGGGGACGGTTCTGAAACAGAGACAACCTCTGCTATTCTAGCTTCAGTTAAGGAACAGGTACACAAGTATAGTGGCTTTTGATTACATATTATGTCGCACATGCTTGTGAGGCTTATTATTGATGCCATGAAGGAGTAGAAATATTTCTTGTTTTAAAAATATCTCAATTTAGTTTCCTAACAGAATTTTGTGGTCATTGGTTTGAGGAGACGTTTGTTTTCTTTGTCATTCTGCCTGGTATATTGTATGGTGATCTTAAATGAGACTGCTACAAGTACCACATCCTTTCGTTTCCCTTTATTACATGTGGAGGTTTCTTCAGTACAGAGTGTAAGAGCTAGGGACATATGAATCACTGTGAAGAAAGTAACTTTCATTCCAAAGCTTTGCATAAAGATTGAAGGGAACCCTATCTTGTTTGTTTGAAAATATTCTGTTATTTGTTTACATTCACTTGTTTCCAACATGACATGGTTGATACCAGAAGCAGAATTTCCAAAATATATCAAGAGGTTTTTCTTTTGGTATTGTCTACTTGGTTAAAACAAAAAAGGAAGTACTAGAAATCTTGGACAAACAGATCTCATGAAATTCCACTCTGATTCTGATGAGACATAGATTCAGATGTGTTTATATAAGCAATTCAGTCTTCTGTATATTTTGAGGTTCCTACACAGGTAATGAAAACGAAGTATTTTGAATATATATCCTTATCCCACTGTAATTCAATGAGAATTATTCAGTATATCTGTATGGCAAAAGGAAGTTTTGTCAGAGAAATTCAATTGTGTAAAACTGCCATACCATTGATATTTTGCATTTCAACCCCTTTGCCTCCAACATAGAAGATGGCTATCTGGATAACTGCAGTTTTTGAAGACAGCTGAGTTTAAAAACTGCTTATGGTTTTGATCATTAGTAGCGCCCGCTACACCCCTCCCCTCCCCCAAAAATGGGTAAAACACTTTAATATCTAGTTTTGGTACTTTGGACCCTTGACAAATTTTAACGTGACATACGGCTTCACAGAAAAGGATACTCTGAGAGGATATCTGGTTCTAGCATCCTGCAGAGGCAGAGAGAGAGAGAGAGAGAGAGAGAGTTGTTTCTGCTGACTCACCAGACTAGCTTTGGCCCAAGAGTATATGAAGAGTTTGAGCCGTTCAGTGAGTCAGAGGGAAATAGGGGCAAGAACAGAATAACACTGAAATTAGAAACACTAGGAACAAAATAAACCCAATCTAGGGAAGAAGTTTAAAGTGAAATTTACATTTTGTTTTTTATCTAAGTTAAAGACAGCCTTAGGATGTGGTGGAGTTTGGATTTTAACTCTGTGTGCCTGTTGTGTTATGTTAGAAGATGCATATGCAATAAAAACATAAATTATCCTTTTTAAAATGCAAAATTATTCAGATAACACTGATAGCTTCTTTAAGGATTCTTAAAAGTTATATTGTATATTTAATTGAAATAGTCTGTTGTCCTATACTTGTATAATACTTTGTTTTTACAACTGTTGTACAATTGGTAGTTTATATAGCTTAAAAATTAAAAATGTTCTCTGGCATGCTACATTAACTTTGAAAGAGATTCATGGTTGCCCTATGTGTTTGATATGTATGAGGGCTTTCATGCAGTATTACAGCATTATCTGGACACGCTCATTATCTAAAATGATATGTGAAATGAATAACTTATACAACCTAACTTTTTCAAAGTAGATTGTGATTTAGTGTATTGGGCTTAAAAGTTTACCAGAAAGTGAGAGTGGTTCACAGCACATGTGCGCCATGTGAAAGTGATCTCTGTTTTATTGGGAAGGATTTTGGGTTTTGGAATGACCCGTATTTGGAAGAAAAACACACTCTCTCTGGCTTATTTCCTCTCCACACAATACTGTTTGGTTCTACCAGGCACACATTACAGAACTAAGCTTGAAGTCCTCACAAAACAGGAAAAGCCATATTGACTAACAGTCCAGACAGCTAAAACATAGTCTAATTAAACTGTTGAAACTCCATTTAAACATTCTGGGTGTATTTTGTGTGGTAATGAATTGGCAGGGAGATGGACTAGGTGATGTAATAAGTGTTCTCCATCTCTAATAGCCCTGATTTATGAGCTCATTTAACCTGACATTCAAGATAAATGGCTTCCCATCTCCTAGTAGAAAAAAGCATATGATTTGTCTGTCTAGCCAACACTTTGGGTTAATTTATCCTCTGGCTCTGCTTAGAAGTCTGGCCTTACTTGAAGATTTGGAAGCATGAACATGGCTAATTATGTAGAGGAATAAAAACAAACAAAGAAAAAATGGGACAACCACTTTTAAAATCAGATTGTCCTTGGCCAAATTTAATAAAATATATTCTATTTCCTCCAGTTTGGTCATTACATATATAATTATTCCACCTAACTTTTTAAAAATTTCGTGGCTCAGCTGCAGAAACTTTTCATTTACTTCTGTGCTCACTTCTATGCTCTGTGAAATTGACATCTGAAGTTGTTTCTCTGGATGACTGAAGGAAGCAGAACCACAAGTATAATCAGGGCCGGCTTTAGCAAGTGTGGGGCCCGATTCGTGGGGCTTGTACTCACCGGGCGGCGCTCCGAGTCTTCCGCGGCACTTCGGATTGCCTCGCTCCGGCCGGGGAAGCGGGGCCGCGACCTTGCCACGCTCTGGTCCGGGGAGCGGGGCCGTGTGCATAGAGTTGTCTGCCCGCTCTCTGGCCGGGGTAGCGGGGCCACGGGGTTGCTGAGCTCCAGCCGGGGTAGCGGGGCTGCGGGGATTGCAGCGCTCCGGCCGGGGTAGCAGGGCCGTGGGCTTGCTGCGCTCTGGCTGGGCACAGGGCCCTCTTAGGCGCGGTGCCCGATTTGGGGAATTGGCCTAAAGTCGGCCCTGAGTATAATGGTGTCATAATGACTGTTGTAGGTGCAGCTGATTTGGGGGTAAAGACAGACTCGATGAACATACACAATGGTCAAAAAATTGGAGGAAGAATGGAGATTTAAAGATAAAAACACTTACATTTTCTATTTGAATTTCTTATGACAAATGGGAGATTGGGAATTCTACATTTTGAATTTAAAACTGACTTAGGTCTGAGATCCACATGTACAATTTCTCTTGTGCATGATCACACACTTATCATACCAGCCTACCTGTAGCTGGTAAAATGTACATGAGCGCAGCATAGAGATAATTGTTTCTGCCTATAGAATCACTGTGAACAAGCTTCCAAAACATAATTTGAAGTAACATGAACTATAAACAGCATAAACTGATTTTAATAAAACTTTAAAAATATGAGGTTAGTGCATAGGATTTGCCTTTAAGTAATATTTTTTCATTACTATTATGGCTTCCAATAATCCACATGCTGCCTCAGTTTTACCAATGAGATTATCTGGTCTAATAACAGCAGATTGTTTAATATTCCAAACATAAAAGTTTCATATTTAACTCAGCAATAATGAGCTCAGAATCTATTTCTGCACGCTTTTCATGTTGTGTCTTTATGATAAAGTATAAACACAGAACAAAGGCTTGGATGTTGTTGTTTTTTAAAGTAATTTCATCAGTTTTATTACTAGCTATTATATGTAAATTCATGTATTGAGGATTTTTCCAAGGATGTTTTGCCTGAACTGACGTAGTGGGTCACACTCAGGTGTTGGACTGCACCTGGGAACATAAATGAAAATGAATGGCTAAGAGGGGATATAGGGTACAACTTTGGTTCCCTGCTCTCAATTTCCTCAAAATCTGTATAATTCCCAGCTGTAGAGGGGACAGTTTGGGGCAGGGTCTGGGGGGATAGTCTGTGTGTTTGTAAATGCTCCCTGACCAGGCTGTTTCATGTCATGCACAAGTTACTCTGTTCCCTGATAGGGACAATTTTTGTGGTGGAAATAACATTAATGTGATCACATGCTACTTTTCAGCATGAATGTGTTCCCGTGTCAGCAGTAAATGGCATGGGGACTCATTGACGGTATGTAAGTGGAGATCCATATAATGCTTTATAAGACTGTACAGTAAATATTGTTGTTCACCCAGTTCTTTTTAATACTGAAACACAGGTAAAATTACTGGTAGGTGATGTCCCAACTGGTTGAAAGACTGTACTCAAAGGGTTTTTATGGTTCACTGTCAAACTGGGAGGGCGTGTGTGGTATGGTACTGCAGGAGCCAGTCCTTGGTCTGGTACTAGCCAATATTTTCATTCAGACTTGGATAATGAAATGAAGAATTTGTTTATAAAGTCTGCAGATGACCCCAAGCTAAAAGTACTTTGGAGGATAGGATTAAAATTCAAAATGACCTTGAAAAATTGAAGAATTGGTCTGAATTCAACAAGATGAAATTCAGTAAAGACAAATGCAAAGTTCTTCACGTAGGAAGGAAAAATCAAAAGCACAACTACAAAACAGGGAATAATTGCCTATGCGGTGGTAATGCTGAAAAGGATCTGGGGGTTATAGTGAGTCACGAGTTGAGTATGAGTCTATATCATTCAGGAAGTGTTGAATGTGGGAGATGGGAGGTAACTGTCCGACTCTGCTCAGCACTGATGAGGCCTCAACTGGATAACTGTGTCCAGGTCTGGGCACCAGACTTTAGGAAAGAAGTGAGTAAATTAGAGAGAATCCATAGGAGAGCATTAGAATACTTGATCTATGAGGAAAGATTTAAAAAAAATGCTGGGAAACAAGCAGGAAGAATTAGAGGTCCTGGCACAGTTGAGGAACTATGATGTGATTGGAATAACAGAGACTTGGTGGGATAACTCACATGACTGGAGCACTGTCATGGATGGGTATAAACTGTTCAGGAAGGACAGGCAGGGAAGAAAAGGTGAAGGAGTTGCACTGTATGTAAGAGAGCAGTATGATTGTTCAGAGCTCCAGTATGAAACTGGAGAAAAGCCTGCTGAGAGTCTTTGGGTTAAGTTTAGAGGCAAGAGCAACAAGGGTGATGTCATGGTGGGCATCTGCTATAGACCACCAGACCAGGAGGACAAGGCTTTTTTCGGACAACTAACAGAAGTCTCCAT